CTGCTAAAAAGTCTTCAATGAGTGTGTCCTGAATGGTGAGAGAGAGAAATGACCAGTAATTGCAGTTGTTGGCAGGTAAATGTCTCATCCCATTATGGATGCTGTGAAATTAAGCAAAATGTACATTGTGTGGTTGAAAGTAGCCTTGTCCTGTTAACATAACCGGGGAGACTTTTGAGTACTGTTAAAAAACAACATAACCAATGGCTTGAGAAGATGGCTTACTGGTTAGGAGCACTTGCTGTTCTTGCAAGCTGGAGTTTGGTTCCCAGCATCAACAATGCACAGTTCAAAACCACCTCTGAACCTGGCTGTGCTTCCAAGCACCACAACTCAACAATCAAATAATGTCTTATCCTCAGAGCCAAATCTCACAAAGAAAATGGGTAACACAAAGCTAGTATTTATTAAAGACTTGCTGTATGTCAGGTAAAGTGTGCTAAGCACAGGTTACATAATAACACCACTATTCCTTGTTACTGATAAAGAAATTAAGACCCAGAGAAATTAAGCGATGTGGACCTGAGAGTCCTTTTTTATATTATATTGTTATATTATTACATAAACTTCATATTATGAATATAGTAAGTAGTAAATAGAAAGTACATACCAAGACAAAAACTTGAACCCTGGTTGTCCTTGGGCAAAAACAAAATCCAATGATTTTGAACAAAAATAATTTGAACACAAGAATTTGAATTTTGAGCAGTGTTGTTGCTATTAGCATGAGCTATTCTTCAAGGAAGTAACTGTCTTAGTTGCTTTTGTATTGTTGTGAAGAGACACCATGACCAAGGAGACTTACAAAAATTACAGTTTTAGAGGGTGTGTCCAGTGCCATTATGGCTGGGATCATGGCACCAGGCAGGCAGGCATGGTACTGGAACAGTAGCTAAGAGCCTCCATCTGATCTGCAAGTTGGGGACAGAGAGCAACTTGGCCTGGCGTGGGCTTTTGAAACCTCAAAGCCTTCCCTCAGTGACACACCTCTTCCAACAAGGCCACACCTCCTCATCCTTTCTAAATAGTTCCACCAGCTGGGGACCAAGCATTCAAACATATGAGCCTATGCAGGCCATTCTCTTTCAAACCACCACAGTAGCCTTATAGGGTTGAACACAGATTTGTATGTGTGAGTTTTAGTATATGTGTGTGTGTTTATGTATGTGTGTGTACATGTGGGTTTTTTTTTTAATGTACAGTCATTTCATGATCGTAGCTGCCAGCTTTCACAAAGTTAGTGTTTTGTTTTGTTTGTTTCACAAATGAGGTTTTTCCTTGCTATCGGTAGTGAAACTTGGATAGAATTTGAATGATTTTTACAGTCTGGATATCAGGCTTGGCATGAAAACTTAAAAAGCCCCACATGCCTTCTGAACTCCATCCTCTCTTCGTTTCAGTGGCTGATAGATAACACGGGACATGAACTCTCGCTACAGAAGTGCCTCCTTCTGCTGAGGAGAGTTGTTCCTTTTGAGCATGCAGTCTATCAATTTAATAGCTTACTACGAGTGGAGTTTTAGAGAATCTGCCAGAAAGCTTAGAAGCAGATACGGTGTTAGTCTGAGAGCAAGGACGGCACATAAACTCGGGAGTGTGCGCAGTGTCTCTGTGTACTGTAGAAGCAAACACAGACAGAGGTGTGAAAAAGGGAGCTAATGATGAAGCTGCTTGTTTTGGGTGTTAGAGAAATATCATGTGTCTTAGGAACTGTGAAGAGACACCATGACCAAGGCAAGTCTTAGAGAAGAAAGCATTGACCTGGAGGCCTGCGGACAGTTTCAGAGGCTTAAGTCCATGATCATCATGGCAGGGTGCATGGATGCAGGCATGATGGTGGAGAAGGAGCTGAGAGTGATGTCCTGATCCACAGGCGGAGAGGAAAAGAGAGAGGGATAGAGAGACAGAGATAGACAGAGAGAGAAGACAGGAAGAGTAAGACAGAGAGAGACAGACAGATAGAGACAGGCCACAGACAGAGAGACAGCGACAGAAAGTTACAGAGAGAGAGAGAGACTGGGTCCGACGTGGCTTTTGAAACCTTAAAACCATACCTTCTAATCCTCCTAGGGCTCTATTCCCTGGTAATTAAGCATTCAAATATATCAAGGGGGCCATTCTTATTCAGATCACCACACCACACGACTCCCTGATTCTAGAAACTCTGACATTCTGATTCCATTCGATGAGTCAGTGTTCAAATTATTTCGACTCAACAGTGAACTCCTGATCACCCGCCGTCTACTCCCCATGAAGCTGTGCACCTCTCAGTGGTGGGGAATGTCTCCTTCTGACTGGCAAGGCCCCAAAGGTGCTGTCGGTCCCCTTCCCTCTCAAGTCTAATTCCTCATCACCTTCAGCAGACACCCAAGAACAGACCACTTCCCATCTTTGCTGTGGCTTCAAGGCTCCCCGCTCTCATGGTTTGTAGGTTTCTTGTAGTTTTCCCCTGACCGGCCTCTCTGCTTCCACAGACCTGCATGGCATAAAAGCCAGGAAGGCTGGATATTTTGCACACCGGGCCAAGACTTTGCTCAGATTCTCCTCTTTGCCCTAAAGGACAAGCCGGCATTCTGACAGTACAACATGTACCATCTTTTCTGTTTGGAGACATGTCTTTTTCTTCTCTATCTTGCTTATTTTCTTCCTGCCATAATGATCTCTTCACTGCTCCTCCTATACTATATAACTCCAGTGAACTCCAGTGTTTTTTCCCATTCCTGAATATGCTCATATGTGCATGGCTTCTCTTTCACCTCCTGCTTTAACATTCCACATCCCAGAACCCGCTATTTTGTTTCATCTTTTTTTGTGGTGTAGTGATTTTATAACCCACTCTATTGCTCATTTCCTATAACGCCTGTCGCCTCCTTTCTGTGTTCTTTTGTGCCCTCTGCTGAAGTGCTGGTTCCACCAAGACATGGCTCCTTTTGTTTTAATCACTGCTAAAATGCAAGCATCCAAAATATTTGCTGGCACATGGTGGATGAGCAATACATTTGGTTAACTGTTGCTTTCAGATGTTTAACTATGGTCAGTAAAGTTCTTGCCATGCACCTATGAGGGCCTGACTGAGCTCTCCAGCATGCACATGAAACTGTCAGCCAGCTGTGGTGATAGCCCTTGCCATCCCAGGGCTGGAGAGGTGAAGGTGGCCGGGTCCCCAGAGCTCCCTGGACAGTTACAAGCCCCAGGCCCCAGTAAGAGACTGTCTAAAAAATAAACAGAGTTCTTGGCCCTGAAGAAAGACACCTGAGTTTTTTTCCTCTGGCCTCCACAGGCATGTGCAATACATGTATGAGCAGGCACACACAGGAACATGCATACACATCTGTACACGTGTGCAGGCATACGCACACATGCAGAGTGGGGAAGAGATGGGGGTGAGCAAGAGAGTTAGAACAAGACACACACACATGCACACACACACAGATGTTCAGGCGATACACACAGATTTTTTTTTCACAGTGAGAGAAAAGCAGCCATGTTTCTTAGCTGTGCTTACAGATGTGAACCATCAGTCCAGCAAACAGCACAAGAACAAAGAAACGGGGCCCCTGTTTTCATGTAAGACAGGAAGGATGAAGGGAGTAACAAATGCGCAATGTGCATTTTTCCTCCTCAACTGTTTAAAAGCTGGTGACCTTACCAGCTACTCAGAGCCATGTGTAGAGATAGTCAAACCAACCTGACAAGGCAGATGCTACATCATGTGAGAGTCCATGCGGTGTATTTAGCATATGGACAGCGCACAGGCTGCCTTGTGACCACGGGCCCCATAGTTAGCTGTTGATATCAGTGAGTATAGACTGTTGAGCAATCAATTTCAAGTGAAGAATTAGTTAATACTGTTGATCTAAATCACGGGCAACAGGCATGTATGTGGTGCATAGACATACAAGCCGGCAAAACACCTATGAGCGTTAAAATGTAATTCTATTCTTGAAAAACTTGGGCGAATCGGTTTGTTTGTTTGTTTATTTATTTATTTATTTATTTATTTATCTTCTCACATGGGCCCAGGGTCCTGACTATGTGGGTGGACTGGAATTGATTCTCTCTTCTCTTTGAGGTGTGGGTGAATTCTGTCACTGAGGTGACCAGAGATGACCTGTGTGCAGAAGATGGGGACTCCTACCCAGAGGACTTGGTCTACCGGGTCACTCCTCCCAGCAACGGGCATCTGGCTCTCAAGTCCATTCCTGGCAGAAGCATCCAGAACTTCACTCAGGCTCAGATTGATGGCGGTCAGCTCGTGTTTGTGCACTCTGGTAAGTCACAGAGCTGAGCGGCATCAAGGAACGTGTGCACTGAGCAGTGAGTGACGTGGCTGTTACACCTAAGAGCTGAAAACGCAGGCTGTAGGGACTTTCAGAGCTCTCTGTTTTTATTAAAGCGACATGTTGAGGAGAGCTAACAAAAGCACGAGAGCCTGCCCATGCCTCCCTTACTCACTCAGAAGGGCATGCAGGGTCAGTTATTGTCCATGAGAGCCCCTTCCTCCCTTCTACTGTCATAGCATCTCTCTGTGAATCGCCACCCTTGCCCTGGCTATGAGACTACTATAGGTCGAGCTGGAGCTGTTTGTTTTCTCCCTTCGCCACGACAGTGTAAGCATTCCAAAGAAGGGCAGAGTCTTGTGTCCACAGCCCCTCTAACAGTAACTGGAACATAGTGGGTGCTTAATAGATAAAACTTCTCTGAACATAGGAAATAATTTTGAACACCAAGTATGTACCAGGTAATGACATTGTAGATGCTGAGGATTCGTTACTGAGCAAAGCAGTTTTTGTACAAGGATTGCATTCATGAATGAATGAATGTCACTATATTCACAAGAGACCCTAATGCTGATTGGAAGACCCTTTCTGCTTCCTGTTAGTCATCAGTGAATCAATACTGACAACATTTGCTGGAAATCGGCTGCAGTGGTGACCGGGGAACTCTGCCAGGGTGGCCTGGCTTTGTTACAAGACTGTCCTTGTCAGTGGACCAGAGTGGGGAGCATCTGGAAGGAGGGAGGCATGGCGAAGGATCACGAACAAGGAACGCATGACCTGAAAGCTCAAATCTCATCTTTCACCCAGTTGGTTTAAACTGTATTCTCTGAGAGTATTATAAAGGAAAGAAAGATAAGACACCTTCTAACTTCAGGTAGTGACGTCCTGATGATGTGTGCGCTTAACACACAGACTCCCCAGAGAATCTGAAAATGATTCAGCATATGGATGCTCTTGGTCACAGACTCGAGCTGGGGCCCTGGGGCTTAGTTCAGCACTCTCCTCAATTTCTTCCATTTGCCAGGCGGCACATTAGGTATAGCCACGCCAAACACGTCCTTTCACAAGTACCCCCCCCCCCCAGTCCTCCGAGCCATACAGAGTCATGACTCCATTTTTGAGATGAGAAAAACTTAAGACTCAGAAAGGCTGAGCCTGGCCTGACCCCAAAGCTGGTCTTTCTCCACCGAAGGGCACGGCAGGTGAGAGGACATGGGTTACAGTCTTCAGTGAAGGACGGAAGCAACAATTTGCTCTCTAGGTTGATTGACTTGGCAGCAAGCAGGTCAATATTTGCTTTTAGCAGATAGAGCAAACACCTTCTAAAAAAGAAAGAAGGAGAGGCAGAGGCCAGGATAACGTGAGGGCTAATCCATTATGCTTACTAAATGGACTCTGAGACAAGCTGATAACTCTCAAGACGACTGGAGCCCAGCTGCAGATGGCTGTTGCTGAAACCAGCTGTACATCTGCCGTCACCAGCCCCAAACAACGGCAAAGTTTAATTAATCTCATTTAGCATCTTACATTTGCAAAGTGCTCAGAGTATTCTGCTCTAATCTAATTCACCAGTCCACACAACGACCTAAGTAGTTTGCTTCAGCCAAGATGCAGGCAGCCGAGAGCTCTCTGTTACTTGTCCTCCTGAGAGTGCCTTTGGGAAAACTCAGAGCCCTGCCATAGGAAATCCACAGGCCATCCTTTGCGTTCTGTTCCTTCCATGTCTGTCTTTGGTCCTACTCGCCATGTCCATCTTTGGTATAATGTTCTCTATATTTGTCTTGATATAAATCCCTTTGGTTCTGTCTGTGTTTTGTTTCTGGATTCATAACGTGCTCCCATAATTCCTAGGGGTAGAGACATTCTCTCTTTAATTTTGCGTTTCATTAAATACAACTTTGAAAAGCTATTTCTAGAAAAGAAAGCAAATGCAAAACATGTGGTTGCGAGCCCCGTTAGGAATTAGGCACGCTCAGAGCTTATTTCTCTCCCTCTCTGTTTCTCTAATGGTGACCTATGAATATGTTGCTTTAAAAAAAAAATCACCACCTGTAAACATTCTTCTGAGGAATCAGAGCTTCCTAATGAGGAAGCTGAGCTTTGCTTACCCAAGACTTAAAAGATGTCAGGCATCAGCCTACCACCTGTCAATCGTGTTATTAAGGGAGTGCCCATACATAATTGCAGTCTGACCGTACATCCTTGTTTCCCCTAGGACAACAAAGGTACGTTTTTACCTAGTACATCCTGTAGGGGCCTGTGGGCTTTTTAATTTCCTGCTAGATGGGCATTTTCAAAGAGTGATGGGGATGTGGTCACCACTCTTCCTGCATGGAGATCTTGCCCCTGCCTTGTGAGTCAGACTGGTAAAGCACCCCCGGGAACTGGATCGATGAGGCTCCGTCTCCATTTCGGTGATGCACATAAGTTAATTTCCCACTCTGCTGTCTGACCAGTCTCTGACAAAGGGTAGGAGTGGGCTCTCCTTGCAGATCCTCCACGAAGGCAGGACCAGGTTTTCCTCTCGCCGTCTCTTTCCACTCTTAGAATATGCCTAGCTTGAGGTAGATCTTGTTAGTTAATTTCTGTTATTTTTTTTGAGATTGTAATATAATTATAGAATTTTCCCCTACTCTGTCTTCCCTCCCACGCCTCCCCCACACCCTTCCCAACTTTCTTTCAAGTTCGTGGCCTCTTTTTTTTTTTTTTTTCTTTTCATTGTTACGGGCATTTATGTATTTGTGTTTTCAGAGTTGACTGTTTGGTATTGGTTAGACAGTAGACTCTTGCCTGGTAAAGGCTGTTTCTCCTGTTTTCAGCATTCCTTAGTCTTTGTGCAGGGTTGAGCTGCCATCTTCCCATCATTAAAAGTAAAACTGTTTTTAGTAGTTGCAAGATGCTAACTATTCCCTTCCCTGAAGTCTCCATATTAAGCTTTATCAACTTTTCAAAAATTCTTTGTGTGGGTATAGGCATGCATTACTTTATCACAATGATATGGACTGATTTCAAAATAATAAAATCCAGGTGATGTTTTTTTTTTTTAAATTTTCAGAAATTTCTCAGTGGTAACATCTGTGCTTTGTTTTAAAATGTCAGAGTTCAAGGGAGTCTGCACATTAACCTTCACTGATGTGTCTTCACTCTGTTTTACTGTCAGTAATACAATCAAGCATCCCTTAAAGCCAGGAACGAACTGAGAAATGATCTCACCAGTGTACAAACATCATCAAGCACCCTTACACAACTAAAGAGGCTGTGACTCTATCTCTGGGTGACAGAGTCTGTGGGACCCAAGTCCCAGAGGCCGTCTGCTTCAGCTCCAGGTGTCATGTGGCATGCAGCCTCAGGGAGCTCAGTGGACACTGAACACATTACAAAGTTGCTGTCGCTTATGTTTCAGGGGAACCATGGAAAGGGAACGGTTAAATGGAGGCAAGCAAGCTGGGTAAGCAAACTGACCACAGTGTGTGTTCTTCTTTTGAAGGAGCCATGTCAGGAGGCTTTAATTTTCAGGTTACAGATGGTTTGAATTTTGCACCTCGACAAATCTTTAGCATCACCGCCCGAGCTCTGATCATTAGCTTAGAAGTCAACAGAGGACTGAGTGTCTTTCCAGGTAAGAGGCTGAGCAAGTGTTTGGGGGTGGGGGGTGAGGGGTCGGTCAGTGTTTAAAAGCCCACTTGTATGGCCTAAAGTGGTGTCCCTTACTGTAGAATGATTCTAACAACATCTATTTAGCCCACCCTCCACAGAATTTTCAGCCAAAAAATGATAGAGCAAAAAGGCTGGCACTCTGCAAGCTTTTTGTCTATTTTCTTGCCTCTTCCCCAGAAAAAGAAGGTCTGAAAAGAGCGGTGGAAAGGAATCATGGAAGGATCCGTCTTCACTGGCTGTGAACATTTCCCCTCTTCTCTCCCAGAATCCTTACAGACTCCAGATCTCTGTTATTTATGTATTTAGAGATACATCTTCTGTAGTCCAGGCTGGCCTTGGAATCACTTTCTGCAGATGACCTCAATTGCTTGATCTTCCTGCCTCTGCTTCCTGAGTGCTGGAATGTCAGGCTTGTGTTACCCTGCCCAGTTTACATGGTGCTAAGAACTGAACTCAGGGCCTTGTGCATGCTTAGCAAGCACTCTGCCAACTGAGCCACACCCCTGCCTCCTTTTACTTTATTCAAACTGCTTGTATTTTGAATACGGGTCCCTGCAGAACCCGGGGCTCGACAGTGTTTTCTGTTAGTGCTGGCTTTGAGTGATTTTTTGCCAATAATCTTAGCTAGACTGATATAGAAGGAATTGTGAGCCCCTCTGACTAACACCCTTAAGAGAGGGAAATATGCACCCAATGGCAAGGGCAAATAACAAAAAAGGAGGGGGGAAAAAGAAATCCTTGAAATTTGTTATTTCCAAAAAAGCACTGAGATGGAAACATAGAAAACAATAACGCCTCAGCATGCTGGGAAAAAGAAAAAGGCCAGCGCAGCCACCCACTTTATAACCTGCTTAAGGGACAGACATTAGCCATCAAACACAGGTGGGAAAAGATAATGACAATTTTATTAATTATACTAGCCAGCAATCCTAAAAATAGCAGTGCCTGCCTCTCACTTACACAGGTTGAATGGAAGTCTCTGGAATGGGCTTGGCTTAGTAAGAAACATCTTGTTTAGCTTTATTTATTGTATTTTATGTGTGTAAATGTTTTGCCTGCTTGTATGTCTGTGTACCATGTGCATACCTGTGCCAGCAAAGGTCAGAACAAGACTTAAGATCCTCTGCAACTAGGGTCACAAATGGTTATGAATCACCGTGTTCATGCTGGGAACTACTGAGCCATCCTGTCTTATTTTTAAAAGTTTTTTGTTGTTGTTGTTTTTTTTTTTTAAACTTCAGTTGGTCTTAAAGCTGAATTAGTTTGGGATCCATGGGACTAGATGCTGTACCAGTATGCCAGTGCTCTTGAGCTAGGTAAGATACTCCTGGGAAGTTGGTGGGCGCTGTGACTTGAAGAGGAAATACAGTGAGAGATGGAAAGAATCCTCCTGCTTCCATAACAGATTTCAAGGAAGATGACTTGGCAATCGTTTTTACAGTAACTTCTGGAATGCCTTTGTTAGTTTTATCGTGATGTTGATGGTGCTGAGTGTTGAAACTAGGGCAGCTCTCTGCCACTGAGCCAGAGCCCCGAAATGTTCATTTCACGTCTTAAGTTGTCCTCAGCTTTTGAGTTTGTGGAAAGAAACCTTCCAAAATGTAGGTAGGTGTATGTAACCTATGATTCTTCTATTATAAAACTTTATTTTTTTCCACACTCTGTAAGTTTTCCGTCTCAATAAATATGAAGCTTCTACCATCCAACCCACTAAGGCAATTAGGAAACCATTTAGTGTTTTAAAAAATAAATAATCAGCTACATCCCATTAACTGGAAAAACATGGTCATCTATTTTTAAAATTCTAAAACTAGGATAATTCTGGCTGCTGCAAAAGATTAAGTACCTTTCATCTAGTCCAGCAGAGTCTGGCCTAATAATTAATGACAGTTGTATTAGAGAAAGGACAGGGACACTATAGCTTAGACACATCTGAGTTTCTGGTGAATGTTTCACTGAATCAGTATAGCTGGGGAAAAATATTAAAGAGGCCAAATTCCTTTTTTACCTCAGAAGACTGTGCTAGCTAGACTTACACTTTTTACAGCTTCGTGTGCATTACTGGCCAGAGTCCTGATAAATGTTTTCTTCTTCTAGCAAGCCTTACATCTGCTAAGACCTAGCCACCATGTGTCTCGAGAGGAAGCAGATGTTGGCCTCACTTTCCCAAACCCTCCCTGTCCTGTTAGCTCAATTGATATTCTTAGTCACTCCTCCACCCTGCCTTCCTGCCTGCTCCAGATCTCAGCCAGGAGGAAGGAAGATGGATCCTCATACCCTTTTCACTCGAGTAGCAATGATGTTTGATGAAATCAATCTTGTAACTGTGGAATCAGAAGCCCTAGAGTTCAGGTGGACCGTAGGGGGTCACCTGGTCCCGCTGTCCTTTCTGTCTGCCTATGTTAGCTTTCCCAGGTAGCAGGGACCACCAGTTGCATATCAGAGTTACCTAGCCTGCGCATGACTCCTGCGGCTCCTGTCACCTGTGCCCTTTCCAGGGATCCACCTGAACCTTGCTCGGCACGACTTCTTCAGCACCCACCCCTAAGGCTCTTTGTCCCAGCTGCTGTGTGTGAGTCTGCAAGGTGACGATAGATGCCCCATTCATTCTGTGTCTTCCTTGAGAGTCCCCGTCTTCGTCATGTACCAGAGGCATGGAGGCACACTGCATCCTGCCCCAGGGGGTGATGTAAGATGTTCACTCAGTGTCCGAGGTTGCAGAACCATGTGCGCACAATGTCTACATTCTAAAAACCAGGGGAAAGTCTTTGTTTTTATACAGGCATAATTCATTTTAGAGCTGGTGCAAAAGAATATCCATTCTTACTACAGGCTAGACATTTAGATACTTGTGCTTTATATATTTATAGCATTTTATATTTTTTAATTACCACATTGTGTTTTCATTTTAAAAATTTAAATAAAAATAGTGTGCAAAAACACAACTTTTGGCCAGGGAGTGGTGGCCAGATGCCCTTAATCCCAGCACCTGAGGCAGAGGCAGGTGGATCACTGAGCTCAAGGCCAGCCTGGTCACAATTTTTGAACATTCCCATCGGCAGGTAAAATATATGGAGACCTGGGAAGTTTCGGTGTCACACAGCTCATAGGAATGTTAAGCCCTACAGGCAATGTAGCGACTCTGAGTCGAAATTGAGAGCTTGCATCAAGCAGCGCCTTCTGGGTACATGCAGGCTAGAGTTCAGGGTGTTGTTATTTTGGAAGGTCGCTTCCCTGAGACTAGGAGCTCAAGGTAGATGTTTATTTTGTCTCCTAAGCATTACTGATAATATTGACATGCACAACCAGAAACAAAACAAAACAAAATAAAACAAAACAAAAAAACATAGCAAGTTAATAACCACAACAGTTATATAGCAAGATTACTGTGACATGTTTTAATCTCTTTGGTTGGGGAAGTATTGCAACCTGGCACAAGTTAGCAACAACCAAAAAAAGAAAAAAAAAATTAAACCTTTAAGAACTTTAATTCACGGTCGGTTCATATCATTTGAACTTCCTCTGCAGCCCATCCAGCTTTGGATGTGTCTGTATTGGGTCTTTTGGACACTCAGCCCCGGCTTGATACTTATACAATTTGCATAACAAGCGAACTGATTATTACCAGAGTGTATAGTATGATACTGTTTGAAGACTAACTATAGCTTCTGTACTTTGCCAAATCTGAATATCAGTTTTTAACACAGTTACTCTGAGGAATGTGTTACTTCTAAATGAAATTTTCCTGTGTGTGAGCTAAGTAGTCTATTTAACGTATATCTTATTGTACCTTATTTTAATATTTAAATTTGCTTATTTTATTGCATACGTGCATGTATAACATAAGTATATGTATGTATGCATATGTATACTCAGAAGGTTTTCATATATATGACATGTGTTCTGTTTCCTTCCTTCTCTGTGATTTATTCTCCAATAAAAGGTTTTGGAAGAGTTTTTCACATTGAATTACACCATAGATTTTGTTTGTTTAGCTTTAGTGGTGACATGTGGGAATATACCATGCCCTTAGGCTGCAGTGGTTTTGTTTTTGTTTTCATTTTGTTTTGATTTTGCTTATTCAAATTGTACTTGGTTCTTTTTCAAGGAATGTTGGTCTGGAGTATTGAAGAGATTAACCCAGAAAGTTTTGCTGTAATGCTATGATAGAAGCAAGTTTCTGTAGGTCCATCAACAAAAAGTATCATTCTCCTGGATTCTGCACTTCAGCCTCTTTGCTCATGATAGAGAGAAAATGGAAATGGCGTCAATAGCCCACCTGTCCCTCACAGTAGGAACTGAAAGAAAGGAGGAAGGGTTTATAGTGTTCAGACCTTTCAGCCCATGAGCTGGAGGATGGGCCTTCAACATTCAAAACCCTGGCATACACATGGCCTTTGATACAGGCCTGGGAGGTTCCTTCCCTCCTAGGAAGCACAGTGTCCTGTGTTCCCAGTACCACACAATCACATTTTCTCTTTATACACCCAGTACTGAGCCACAGAGGCCTTATTCGGCAAGGATTTTTTTTTCCTCTGGGGAATCAAATAGATGTGAGGCCATGACTGGAGAAGGGGCACAGAGGAGCTTGTTCTTCTGTGGTTCAGGTGTAAATCACCTCCCTGAGAAACACCCCAGGCGTTTCCCATTGCCCAGGTCTGAAGGCTAGCTAGTGCCACCCATTCGTATCTGAGCACTCTCCAGGCAGTTTTCAGAAGTCCAGAAAGACTGAGGAGCTGGTCACCTCTGTGCACTTTGCAGTTATGTGCATATTTTAATTTTAGGTTCCACAAAGCCGCTTTCGTCTCATGACCTGAGAGCTGTGACCAATGACAAGGCAGGAAACAGAACTGTAACGTTCACAGTTGTCAGTTCCCCTAGACTTGGGAGGCTGCTGAAGATGAACTCTGACAACCACACGGAGGATGTTTCCGTCTTTACCCAGTCTCTGGTGAGTCCTGACATCTGTGCTGTGTCACTGAGTGGGGCTGCACGTCTAAGCAGGGAGGGCTGCCGTTTGTCTTCCTCCTGCTAGACCAGCAAGAGGTGGGCCATTGTGCGGGTCACTCCTCATTTCTTTTGAAATGGGATTTTTTGCATGAGACAGATGTCAGAAAACACTATGCTAATTTAAATTCTGAAAGTAACACATTTTTTAAAAAGTACCTGAACCTGGCACAGTGGCACACGCCTCTAATCCCAGTACTTGGGAGGCAGAAGCAAGAGGATCTCTGAGTTTGAGGCCAGCCTGATCTACAAAGCTAGTCCAGGATAGCTAGGGCTACACAGGGAAACCCTGTCTAAAGAAGAAAAAAAAAAGATGTACTTGGAACTGCAGAGATGACTCAGCAGTTGAGAGCAAGTATTGCTCTTGCAGAAGACCCAAGTTCAAGTCCTACCACGTCCAGGTGGTTCACAACATTCTGTAACTCTAATAAGTCCAACTTCCTCTCTTTTGAACTTTGCATAAACCTGTACTAACATGCACTGCACACACACACACACACACACACACACACACGCACACACAATACAAAATAAGTAAATCATTTTTAAGGAGGATCTTTTATGAGGAAATCCACAGTATGTATGTACTTATATTTAATATGACATGATAATTCTTATGTAATATTTTAAAATTGTGTGCATATGTAATTTATACCCTCGGTGGTACTCTGTTACCAGACTCACGGTTTGCACATCTCTTTTGAAATGAATAAGTACTGAAAAAATATTTTTGCTTCCCAGCCAGGAATTGTTCTGAAAGTGACATTCCCAAACATAAATATAATTTAAGCATTCCTGTGGTTTGTCATTCGTCATTCTCTTTCTGCCCTGAAGTACTGGGTCTGACGATTTGCTTGGCTATAGCTTTGTGTAACTAAAGAGTTTTTCTAAATCTCAAATCATGTTTAGAGGAAATAGAAGGAGTTCTTAACCTCGGAACTCTTTCTGTATGATGTGATGAGAGTCGATGCAGTTTTTGCTTTTCAGTTGCCTTTGTCTGTGTGCATTTGAGGGGGTGGATCATGAGGCCAGCGTAAGCTTCTAGTGTAACACTGGAAAGGAGAGGCATAGTGTCTGTGGTTTGCAGACTTCTCCAGGACACAGAACAAAAACTTAGAGTGAAAACTCCATTGTGTAGGGGAATCAGGATGCACCCAGAAGCAGCGAAACATGCCTGAGGTCAGTTTGCCTTTTGAATACCAACAAGATATTATTTGAATACCAACAATGAAATTTTTCCTATAAGAGTATTTGGCTCTAGCTCCAGTTCTTTAAAAAAAAAATGACTGTGTTCATTTTAAGGATTATTTCCAGCAGCTTTTTGTTGCAAGTATGTGGGATTTTTAGATTAAGATCAATATGATCAAAACATGTGCTAGTGAATATAGTAGCTTGAATTAAGTAGCCTTTGCTGCAGTAACAAGAAACCCCCAAGTCCCAGTGGCTTATGATAACAAAAATGTCCTTTTTACTTGCTTGTGTGACAGCTGTGGGTTGTCTGTGGTCTATTTTTTCATGTCTTCTTTGTAAATGTAACTTTTACTCCCCTGATGTAATTTTCTCCTCAGATGCTTATTGCTTCTGTTTGCTGACATAGTCCTAGTCCTGGAAGCTTCTAGACTCCCTACCATGTAATCTAGGCCTAGAATGTTTTCAGCCTCTGAGACTTACTGATGAATAAGCTCACCATTTCTGGTTCTTTCTGACTTCCGGCTGGCTGTTTCGACTTAGCTGTTCTGGTTCAAACTCCTAGCTAAGCTGAGTGATTCAAACTGGATTGTCTCAGCTTCTGACTGAATTGCTTAGCTTGGGCTCATACTAACTTTGGCAATCTGTTCTAATCTTCTGGCTCCTTCTCCTTCTCTGGCTCCTTCTGTCTTCACCTGTGTCTAGCTTGTTCTCTCTCCAACCTGTGTCTGTTAAACTGCCTCCTCTGTTTTATTCTCTGTGCTGCTCCCTTTCCTCTCTCTTCTGGTGAGAGTTGGGCGTATCCTATCCTGTCAAATCTTTCTCTGATTTGTCCTTTTTCTGCCACTCAATTAAACATCACTTTCAAACATGGGTGCTTCCATCTATAAACTAATTTTACCTTCATTGTCTGGACCCGAAACTTGCTCCATGCCAGGCTGGCCTCGAACAGAGATCTGCTTGCCTCCATCTCCTGGGTTTAAAGGTGTGTCTGTATTTCAGCCAGATGACACTGAACTAAGTCTTTGGATGTGATCTCTTGATGGAGCAGCTGTATTCTGAATTAAAATTCTGCTACGCTTCTTTGTTTCAGGATTTAGCTAGTCACTGTGCTGATGTCAGCAGAGGGCATCATAGTGGTGGAACATGACATAATTTTGCAGCTTGTGCACTAGAATTTTGTTTGTATTCACATCTCACTGGTCAAAGGCCCCATGAGGGAGCTTGTTACCAGTGTGTTGGATAAATATAATCTCATAGAGAGAGGAGGCACTGTTCTAACTGCCATGGTGCATTAATATGCAAACTAAAAACTGGGTACAGTCCTGGAAGCCAAGAGTACATTTTTCAATGGAAACAAACCATTTTTAAAATAGAACACATCTGTAAATAAGAAATTAACACACCAAGCCAAATATAAGTTCCAGGGCAAGCAAATAAAATCCAGTTGTTTTCAGATTTTACTGTTTTCTTGCCGCTTCTGATTTCTTCTGCCCTTGTGAGCAGATAGGAGGTACCCGGAAAACCTGTCAGCAATGGCAGGTATGAGCCAGAGAAGTACTGTGTGTTGCTTAGTGATTCCCAAGACTGACTGAGACTGTTGCTCCTATGGAAACAGGGGCAGGCTATAGTCTGGAAACATCCTGTCCCGTTCCACAGATCATGGGGGCACGGTGTCTGCCTCTTCCTCTTCCCTGTAGTTCTTTCCTTTGCTGAACTAGTGCCTGTGCCATTCCAGAGATCTGGTTGAATCCTTAGACTGAAAGGTCAAAGAAGAAATTATTTTATTGTCTGTAAGGTTGTGTACAAAGGCTGTGTATCTGGCTTTGTACACAAGGAACAAGCATGTTTTTTCTCTAAAACATCATCTCAGATATATGCGTAGTTTGTAGAATTTCCACACAACAGTCATCTTTTGCTTTTGTTGTGTGGTATGTGGAGAAAGTGTATAATTTAGGTATTAGAGATGACTTGCAACAGTGCAGAAGTTTCTTGGAGATCTAGGCTATCTCTGTGACTTGGAAGTCACATAGCTGTTAAGCCTATGTTTTGTTATATTTAAAAGTGGAAAGGGTCATAGCAATGATGATTGAAACCATATTCACGTACACCACGCATGAAGCACTGTGCTTGGCTGTCGATTGTCTCGTTCTTCTCCACCTGCAGACTCAGAGCACCTGTGTTCACACAGTTACACAGCCTACTGATAGCAGAGCCAGGACTTGAGCTCAGGGCTCTGGATTCTAGGTCAGGTTCCTCTCAAACGAGCCATAGCTTTCCCCTAACTGGTTAAATTCTGATAAGATGATATGAGATGTAAAATGCGTAGCATGTTTCCCACACTTAACTGAGGTTTGTTGAAATGAAAGGTACTCTTCCAGTGATCAGGAGAGACGCAAGCTAGAAATATTATATTCCTTATACATCATAGGGGTACCTGCCACACCTAAAGGCCATATACATACATGTCGGGAAGCACATGAAGAGAGACGGACTTAAAGGCCAGGCTAGGCCAAGCAGCTTTTCTAAGGGGAGTTTGAGTGGGCGAGTTTAAAGCAGGCAGGTGCTTGTTCCGGGAGGCCACATGGTAACTTAGAGGTAGTCGTGTGGTCTAGGTGGGTGTGAGGATCAGTGGGGTCAGTCACCCAGGCTACGATAGCTGTCCCCTACAAAGGTGGTCAGAGCAGTTGCTTAAGGTGACTACCTGGGCGACATACACTGAAGACCCTTAATGAGGAGAGCTGCAGACTGGCGTCAAAATGACTGAGAAAGTCCAGCTGGTGCTCAGGATGGGTGCTGAGGCGACCGGACATCCTGAGGAGTGCAAACACTCATTAGATGGTAGCTAAGGCTTCTGCTTGGCTTTTTTGTTCTCAAAAGTGTGAAAAGTCCCTTTCTACTTCCTCATGTTTAAAAGCAGTTTCCCAGGGGAAGGCGATTTTCTGCTACACTGGAATTGGCTGGTGTTTGCCCTAATGCGCTACCGTCATTTAATGAATGGAAATGAGGCCATCAGAGGAGAGTGACATTTGCTTCACCTTTTGACCCACTTATTGTTTCCTTTAGAGAGTTCCCGGTGTTCTCAAATACATTTCCCTCGGGACAGTGAGAGAAGAGAGCTAAGAAAACCTCAGAGGGCTCCTCCAGGGACCAGGTTCTCCATCGCTGGGCAGAGCACAGGCTGGAAGGAGGGGGGATGGGCACCTCCCAGGACTCCACTGGAGCAGTAGAGTGCTGGAAGGAGAGGAGCAGCCTTGAGCTGCTGCTGACAAGTTTTACAGGGTTAAATATCTATGTTTGTCACTTTGAATACCTTGTCTTTCTTTCCGCCTCAGCTCAGCCATCATAAAGAAAGTCAATAAGGTGGGTGAAGGAGGGAGAATACAGAGAAAAACATGGGAAGATAAAACCCAAAATACCAACTCTGACTCTTTCAGGATCATAGCTTACTTTGATGGTTCAGTGTGCATCTGAAACACACACACACACACACACACACAAAGCATGCAAGCATGGACACTCGGGTGCACGCATATACACGCACTATGTTCAAGGGCTTTCTGACACTGTGACAAAGTATGTGAGAAGAATCAGTGTAGAGGAGAAAAGTGTTTATTTTGGCTCATGGTTTCTGAGGCTTCAGCCCTTTGTCAGCTGTCACTTGCTTTGGGGCGGGGAGAATGTGCTGGCAAAGAGCACAAGGTAGAGAAATGCTCACTTCCTGAAGGCCAGGAAACGAAACGAGAGAGGAAGGGA